ATATATATATATATATATATATATATATTCTAACCTTAGAAATTAGAGTAGGTCCTACAGATCAGTGTTCCCCTTTAGCGAAATTTTCCAACCATGAGTTCTCTCAAACAAAAGTAAAGACGATTGTCCAAAAGTGGAACATAAAATAACTGATTTTAAAAGAAAAACTATTTTACTTAATCTTTTGATTTGAGAATTAATTTTTTTGTAAATTTTTTCTTTCCATCTCAAATAATAAAAAAAAAAAAAAAAAGAAGGTGCCCGGAAAGCAAGAAAGAATTCGAAATAAATACAAAATAAAATCACATTATAAACCTGCATTTATAAAACTTGATGAATTGGGAACAAAATGCAGAACAAAATAGTGTGAAAGCAGCTGACACCAGACTGTTATCTGCTTGGTTTTAATGTTTGTCAGCAGAAGGCAAATAAAAATATAACAAAAATGTACTTTTTGGTTTATAAAAGGTTGGTTCATTTTTCAGTTGAGTCCTCAGAAAGCAAAACAGATCCCAGCCCTATTTTAATTTACAACCTAACAAATCAGTCATGTCAGCCTGTCATGTAACCAGGCCACCCTGGCCAGGTTACATGACATGACATGCCCTGCGCCACGCAGCTACATCATGCACATCGGGCTTCACTGCGTTGCCATAGCAACGACCGCTTAATAAAGGGACAGACCCTCCTGTTGTGGGTTATATCCCCCCACCTTTAATCAAGACCCCCCGCACAGCCGCAGGTGTGACTTAATTGGGAGCGACACGTCATAGTAAAGGTGTAGCGCTTAGGGGGCGGTTTGGACTCAGCCTAAACCTGCTGGAATTCATCCGTTCTGTTTAAAGTTACACGCAGATCAAGTTCAAGTCATCATTTCACATCTTTAAGTTATCTGGAGAGTCACAACATCAGATTAAGGTTTTTATTAAAACCTTTAACCGCGTGTCTGTATTAAGTTCCAGAAACAATGAGCTACTCACCGTCAGCTGCTGCTTTCCTGAAAGGTTACAAACGAAAACCATCATTACCACCGCTAGGGGGCGACTGTGAGCCTTCCAAATAAACCTAACAGGTGAGAAATGTTGTTGAATGTTGGGTCTATTTATGGAGTTTGGTTTGTTTACTACTTTATTACTTAATCAAAAACTAAGGTTACCTTCAATCAAAAAATATTTTCAATAGAACAAAAACAAAAAAAACCGTTTCAAACAAGGAGAAAAAGTGTGTGGATGCAAAAACTTAATTCAGCCTAAAAAAAAAAACACATTTAAAAACATTTTTGATAAAAGTAAAGGTCTTTTTGTTTGAAGCAAATGTTCAATTGAGGTAATGTTGTATATGTGTCTTATAATTAAAAAAGTCGCTTCAAACAAAAAATTAATAGTAAAAAGAAAAACTATATATATATATATATATATATATATATATATATATATATATATATATANATAAGAAAATAAATTTCAACACTTTATCTGTCTTAATCATTTAATCCAAAAAAGTTGCTCTAATGAAATCAAATATTCTCAAACAAAAGAAAAGGGCAGGTCTCCAAACGGCCACAGAGCAACATCTGATGGTCCTCCTGGGCCAACACGTTTAAGCCTTATCAGTTTTCTCAACAGAATTATTAAGGGGGCATTTCACTTTCATGGAGACTTTTATGCAATCGAGAAATGAAAAGGAAAAAATAAGTTACTAGTCATCATGGGATTTGTAAATTCATATTAAGATAGTTTTAAGAGGTTTCGATAAGTTAACAAGAAAAGTGTGTCTGTACTGAGAAAAAAATGATCTATGGCATAAATGTTTTCCTGGAAAATATAATGGTAGCTAAAACATGTTGGCAATAAATGGAGCCCTGGAATTGCATTCCAGTTGGCAAAAATGAATTTAACTGTTTTCCCCCATTATGATACTTTTCATGGTAAAAGATCTATTTGCTAAGAATGAAAAAAGAACATTATTATTATTTTGAGCTCTTATCATCATCAATTACCCTTTTTTGTATTCTGTGAAAAGAGAAAAGTTAAAATAAGTAGAAAAAATAGACTCCCTGTCTACAAAGTATAAGTTAAATGGTTAACCTGGGGTCTGTTTCATGAAGCAGGTGTAACAAATTCAGATTCAAATCCGCAAGTCTAATTTGATCTAGCCAAAAGTCGGGAACTCTGAGTGTTCGGTTTTACAACGGCTGATATCAATTAGTTCAGTCAATAACTAGGTCCACTCAGAATTAAGCGAGTGTGCAGCAAGTATAAAAAGCCATTATCAGTGGAGCACCGATTCGACGAG